TTATTATTATTTTCCCTTCCTTTTATGTCCTATTAAACTGTCTTTATCTCAACCCACGAGTCTTACTTTTTTTCCGATTCTCTCCCCCATCCCACTTGGAGGGAGTGAGCAAACGGCTGTGTGGTGTTTAACTGCCTGTCGGGTTAAACCACAACAAGCTCTCCTTGGAGTGAACAATATCTCCAGCAAACTCCAGAAGGCTGAGAGGTTGATGGATTGCTGCTGCTTCCTCAGGAGAAACCTCCTCCTTCCATTAGGAGAAATATGCTGTAGATCTGCTGTAGAAAAACCTCAGGTTTTCTGCTAAGCCTCTACAGTCTCATAATGTCTTACGGGATGGTTGTGATTTGTCTGTAAAAGTTCCTATCATCACTGTTGGTATAATAGGTTTGATTTTAATAAATAACTACTTTTATGCTGCTTCTTTTGCTCTTTAATTTTGCTTTGGAATAAATTGTTTAGCCTGCTTTCTCATCTCTTGCTTTAGACAGCTAAAATCCTAGGTAACAGAGTTGACTATACACAAAAGCTGAAATAGTAATACTGACTGAACTAGTTGAGTGAGGTTTTAATCTACAGCAAGTGTAGAGCTCCTCTCAGAACTGGGTCTGTACTTTCTTAAATGAAATAGGGTTTAGTTAGCATAAAACAACACAATACTAATTAGATAGCAAGCAAATCTGAAAACTGAGATTGAAACTTTTGAATATTGATAGGTTTTAGATTTGCATCTTTAGATAAATTTGTCTTTCTGATTTGAGTGGAAAGCAGTAAATGTGTTTTAATCCTTGGGAGGGCCGGCAAAACATTTAGCTGATAAAATTTACAATATTTGAAGCTTTCTCAAGAATTATTTGGAGCATTTTGATGTAATCAGACCCAAATCTGAAGGCTTTTTTAGACTTATTTTTAGATGCTGAACCTTGTCTGAATCTGGGATTAAAGGTATCTGTAACCCATTTTCTTGTGTTGCTGCAATCATCTTTTTTGTCTCTAGGTTGACTGATTTGTTAGTTAAGAGACCAAATAGTATCATTGTATTTAAGGCTGCAGTAATTTTGTCACTCAAAGTACCGATTAGATTTTTTGGCTAGACCTTCATTTATTCACTAAGTCTGGGAGAACAAGCAATTTAAAGATTTATATGCTATATAAAGGTCTCACCAAGATGCTAAGTTTGGTGTAACGTTTTGCACTCCTTGAATAACAAATTAGGTTTGCAGTGCACAGAGCACTTCTTCACCTGCGCCATTTCTGCTCACCTTTAATCACAGAAGCTCATGTTTACATTGTTTTCACTTGAAGTTCTGCAGATGGGATTATCTTCTCATTTCTGTAGTTGTTACAGTTTGGTATTAGCTGAATATAAGTTGACTATCCTTGAATTATAATCCTGGGAGGTTAAGATAAGAAACTAATAGAAGATGTTTATTATTTGTCTTTGAACTATTTTGAATCAGACAAGTTATGAAATGATTAGACTTGGGCTTGAAAGCATTCACAGGAAGTGGAGAGGGGATGACTAGGCATTGCTAATAAATAATAAACTCAAGGGTGAGGTCTATGCATTTAAGCTTAGCTGACTAAAATATAGGGGGTTTATTTTTTCTTCTGTTAATCGCAACACACCAAATTATATAAATATGGGAAACAGAGACTAACTCTCCTCCCCCCCCTTTTTTTTCCCAACTTGAAAAATGCATCTTGCATTTCTAAGTGCTAAAACAGTTGAGAATTTGTAGTGATTAGTCAAATGCAACATTTGAATGTAGGAGTGTATGTAATGGAATGTAACAGTAGCTTGTCATTCACGTAGAGTTTAACTGACCTATTGTATATTTTATATTAAAAAAATCAAAATGTGATACTTATAGATTTAATCCTAGAAGGGATTATAAAAATATTTCTACTGTAATAACTACTTGTATTTCTATGGTGGATTGACCTTGGCTGGCTGCCAGACCCCCACCCAGCTGCTCTCTCACTCCCTTTCCACACCAGGACAGGGTGGGGGAAATAAGATGAAAAAGTTCGTGGGTTGAGATAAAGATAGGGAGAGCACTTGCTGGTTACTGTCATGGGCAAAATAGATTCAACTTGAGGAAAATTAATTTAATTTATTGCCAATTAAAATAGAGTAGGATGGTGAGAAACAAAGGCAAAACACTAAAACACTTTGCCCCTCTGTCCCTCCTTCTTCCCAGACTTAACTTCACTCCTGGCTCTTCTACACTACCCTCCCATCCCTGAGCGGTGCAGGGGGATGGGGATTGGGGGTTGTGGTCAGTCCGTGTCACTTCATCTCTGCTGCACCTTCTTCCTCACACTCTTCCCCTGCTCCAGTGTGGGGTCCCTCCCATGGGACAGTCCTTCATGAACTGCTCCAGTGGGAGCCCTTCCCATGGGCTGCAATTCTTGAAAAAGTGCTCCAGCATGGGTACTTTCCATGGGATACAGTCCTTCAGGAAAGGACTGCTCCAGCGTGGGTCCCCCATGGGGTCACAGGTCTTGCCAGAAAACCTGCTCCTGCATGGGCTCCTCTCCACGGACCGCAGCCCCTGCAGGGAGCCTGCTCCTGCATGGGCTCTCCATGGGCTGCAGCTTCCTTCAGGGCATGTCTACCTGCTCTGGCCTGGGGTTCCCCATGGGCTGCAGGGTGTATATCTGCTCCACCGTGGTCCTCTGTGGGCTGCAGGGAGACAACCTGTGTCACCATGGTCTTCACCATGAGCTGCAGGGGAATCTCTGCTCCAGTGCCTGGAGTACCCCCCCCGCCTTCTTTTCCACTGTCTACAGGGCTTTCTCTCACATTTTTTCAGCTGCTGCACAGTGTTTTTACCCTTTCTTAAATATGTTATCACAGAGGTGCCACACCCATGGCTGATGGGCTCAGCTTTGGGCATTGGTGGGTCAGTTTCCGAGCCGCCTGGAACTGGCTGTCCCTAGCAGGGGGCAGTCCTTGGCCTCCTTAGAGAGGCCCCCTGCAGCCCCCACTGCCAGCACCTGGGCACCTGCATCCAATACAGTTTCCCACTGAAGGTGACAGTTAAGATGTCATGAGCTTCATCTAGACTTTGAGATTTCTCACTTAGCATTTGTAAGGTTGCTTTTCATAGGATAATTCTTAAATAAAGTAAACTAACCAAGGAATAAGATAGAAATAATTAAAAAAAAAAATTAAAAAAAACCCCACCCTGTGACAGGTTGGTTCCAGTGATAGATTTAATAATACCCCATAACATTTAAAGACATTCACCTGAGTGGGTGTGAAGTTACTCAAGTTACACAGCAGAACTAAAAAACATGAACAGAAAGTAAAACGCGTGCTGAAATGTAGTATTAAAATATGAAAATGCAAAGAACCTGCCTTTTGCTGGTTTGCAGATGTAGAAATCTTGTGTATATGACTTTGTATTACTCATCAATTTTCCCTCTTATGGTTTGGTTTTTTTTTTCCCTCCCCCAGAAAATATGAAGAAGCCCTGGAGCCCTGATTTACCAGTTGATAACCACTCATACAATTCAGATTTCACATCTGTACCAGACAGGGAAGGTGAGAAAGAATTAGCACCCGATGGCACTGAAGAAAAGAAGGAAAGAGAAAAGAAACACACCAATTTCACTTTGTGTAATGTTTGTAACATTCAGCTGAACTCTGCTGCTCAGGCACAAATCCACTACAATGGCAAATCCCATCAGAAGAGGTTAAAACAGCTCAGCAATGGAAATCTCAAAAGTGATAATGGTAAGCATTAAAATGTATATACCTTTTCACATGTTTTGATCTGAAAATTGCAGCAATGTGCAGTAATGTCAATATATATGAGCCTAAGCATTTTTTTTAATTCCGCCAACAAATCCTTTGAAGTTAAGGCAAAGGCTCTTGGTGACTTCAGAGTGCTTGAGGTTATCCCTAGCATGAGCATCTGGCAAATAGCTAAAGGTATACTGTTTGTGTTGTTACAAGTGTTTTCATTTTATATGTTGTTTACATGGTGATGTTGATTCAGATTCTATCTCATTCCATTTGCATTTTGATGTTTTTCAATATAATCGGTGATATTCCGTGTTTCAGTCTACTAGAAAGGTTATACTTGTTAAGGGTATGTTTGTTTTTAATGAATGTAAGGCGGTTGCAAAATAAATTGAAACAAATACATTACACAGAACAAATACATTCCCAAACTCATTTCACTTCAGTTTGCTTATTCAGGGTTCAACCCATAGCTAGCATAAGTCTGTTTAAAAATCATGACTGAAGTCAAACAGAGATGGAACAAAGGTTATTTTGATTTTAATTGATTTCATTGACAGCTTTGGGAAAAGCATTTTATAGTAGGTGGCATGTTTTCCTATCATCAGAGTGAATTGTACGCCTCAAACAAAAACATGTTTGTGGCTTTATGTACAAAAGTAGATTGGATAACAGAGGCAAACGATGGTCCCTGACAAGAAAAAACAGATTACTATGTTATAATTTTCTCAATTTCTTAACAGGTAGTACTCAACTTTGCTGTACTATGGGTAGAGTTGTACTGTATTGTTCTATCTGCTTCTATGCACCATGTCACAGAAATGATGGTCTTAATATGACGTACTTAGGACTTTCAGACTTTCTTTCTTCAGACCACACACATTGCTTAATATTTTGTGCCATGAGTTGCTTCCTGCCCCATCTGCAGAAGGATATGCAGAACACTAATCCTTAGATAGGACTGAAGAGGTATTTTAATAATCTGTGGTTTGTCCTGGCTTTAAGAGTTGGGAATAATATGGGTGTTTTGCTGAATTGTGTTGGATGTGAGTGCTTTGCTGTGTACAAGGTGTTGCTCATTTCCTTAGAACAAAACAATAAAACAAACAAAAAAACCCCATAACACTGAGCAACACAAATCATTTTGTCTTTAAGTGGCAGGACTATAACGTTTGGCACTGTTCATAGTTCAGGCTTAGGAAGGATACCACTACCGTTAGTAGGAGCTGTGAAAACGCGTAAAGAAAGATTGATTTCCTAATTGATTAAAAGTGCAATATGGTTATCCACAAATGCATTCTTTCTATAACCAAATAAACACAGTCTAATGTTATTGCTATCTTCAGTTAAGGTAAAATTATGTTATTGTTATTATTAGCACAACAATTTTGCTAATGATAGAAAGTGTTTTTCTGCAGTTCACTTTTCTGCTTTAATTCATGGTAATGAAAGAATTGGTAATTAAGCAATGCTGAAATTAGTGTCAAAGGGCTTCAATTGTGCTTCAACAGTTATATTCTAGAGAGGATCATAGTAATAGTATAGTGGCATGTTTCTTATTTCCTCCTTAAAAGTATCCCTATGTTGCGTGTAGCTGCATCCATTTGTAGTCAGGAAATAGCTGATTGACTATCTAGCTCTTTGTTTCAAAGTGCAGTTATTTTGGAGGGTTGCCTGAAACTTGAGGCTTTTCAAATCTGGCAGATCTTTGAGTATCATCAAAAGCAGCGCTCCACTGAGAGAATAACGTAGGAAAGAGCATAAGGAAGTGATTTTCCCATGTCACCAAACTTTGAGATTTCATTTTTTTTTAAACTGAACATTATGAATGAAATAGAGACCAATATTAAATATTTCTTGCTAAAAGTTAGAACTGAATTAGAACTGAATGTTTGAGTAACCACCCTCCCTGCACTTTCAACAGAGACCCTATTTGAGATCCGTTTTCTAAGTCAAGTAGAAATTGGAACCTGACAGACCTTCCACAATAACAGGTTTTGTCAAAACTGGTGTATCTGAAATATGGGCAGTGTTTTTCGGATGAATGATTGTTTTGTTGATGAGACCTTAGCAAGCTCAAGTGACATATGACCATGACTGAAAAAAATTCTGACTTGACCCTTTCAGTTTATCATGTGCACACAAATGACGCTTTTTGAAGGTCACTGATGTTACTGAAGTAACTGTTAAACATGCATAGTACTGTTTATTCAATGATGTCAGTAGGTTGCTTTATTTATGAGAATGGTATTTCTTGTGTAGAAGTCTAATTGTCACAGAAGATAGCTGTTATGCTCAATGTCCAGGTTAATGGTCTAATCATTCCTGAGACTAAATTCTGCTGTAAATTTAAACGAAGTAAAGGCTCTGCTTTATGAGATTGTCTTCTAAGGCTTCGTCATCAATAGTTATTCATTATATCTCAAGTTGAATGAGTGAAGCACTTGCACTACACACAGGAAAACCCCATTTCCAAATACAGAGATTCACGGACTGTACAATGGGTTGTATATGCGTTTGCAAAGTTGCGTGCTCACTTGGAACTAACGCACGTGGAAAGGTTGGGAAAAATATTGGAATGGTGACTTCTCCTTGTTTTGTTTCATCTCTGAATTATTCCTACAAAGCAGGACGGGTTTGTGTGTTTTATATCACGAGGGGTAATAGAAATGGAGGATTTATTTATATGAAGTAACAGCCCATGTCTTGTTCCCAAACAATTTGCAATGGACTGCTGAACAGAGGTAGGGTTCAGCTGTATTAGCATTTGACTGTGTAATTAAAGCTGTCACACTATAGTCATAATCTTCAAACTGTGTGAAGTAGCTTTTATCTGCTGGACATAAATAACAGAGCACGTTACTATACTCAAATATCTCTGTGTAATCTCATAAGGTAAGTTGCTTAAGCACAAAGCCTGTTAACCTCTGCAAATATACAATTAATAAATAATGTGCATTGTGGGGTTAAAAGCAGCATTTCTTGGCTACTGTATTGGTATCTGTACTGAATTTGAATAGCTCACCAGATTTACTCTAAAAAGTTTTGCTAGTTGCTTATCTGTCAGCTTGGCAGTTTTACAATATGATATCCACTTGGTGCTTTCCTGGGGCAGAGCAGCCTCAGAACAGCAGACTGTGCAGAGTCACAAAAATGATGTGAACCCATTGTTTCTTGTGTCATTACTTGGTACAGTGATTTGTGATGACTTAACAGGACATGGTGAGACATCAGCACTTCTGTTACTGAACTGTATGTGCTTGGGAATAACACAATTTTCCGTGTTCCTCTGAATAATTGCCTTTTATGTCACATAAAAAGATTTCTCACACTTTGCTCATTACACCCTATAATATATTCTTCTTGTTGGTGATTTTTTTGCCTTTCTGCTCTCCTACATGCAGTAGCAAGGTGACAAACAAGTCAGCGGAGATTTTGACTAAGTTTTGGAATTAAGAGGGCAAAATGCATTTCCCATCTGGTCTGCCAACATTGCACCACTTCTCACAAAACCATCCTGGATGCTGTGGGAAGAGGTGACCTCTTGTGGGAAATCGTTTATTCTGACCAGCAGGAGTAAGACTCACGTTTCTACTGACAGAATGGAAAAATAGCTGTGGATGCAAATGTATAGCAGTACCAGTGAGAAAGCTGGTATTACTAAGATTTTATGTAAACCAGAATTTCTCCTGTGCTTCCTTTTGTGTAAATTGCTGAATCATCATGAGTGAATGAGGCATGCTTAGGACAAAAACTAAAACTGCTTTCCTCTGCAATAATTTCTACAATACATTAGATAACAAGTGGAAAAATAATGCAAGAGCTGAGAAGTGCCCCAAAATTCATAAAACTCCTTTCAGCTTAAAAATTGATTTCTGAAACATTATTATTTTGAAACACAGGAGCCAGTGAGGCATTTGGCAGTAGTTTCTATATCTAGCTCTCTGAATTCATAACCCAGACAAAAGACTATCCAGTTTAGCAAGTTTTATTTACTTTCTTTTAAACTAAACCTGCCTACAACTTTTTTTCAGTGAAATTTCATCTTAGTAAAATTTTATTGTACTGTGAGCAAGGACAGTGAGTGCATGGAAGAAAGAAAGGGAAAAGATCAGAATTAAATATCCATTTTTTTATCCCTTGATAATTGCAAAAAGGAAGTCTCTTAATTCGGCACTAGATATTACTTAAGAATGAATAACCATTTGATTGTTGCAGTTGTACTGAAATATACGCTAAAATATGAGCAAAATCTGTTTCACACTTTTTTTTTTTTTCAGCTGTATTTGGTGGTTGAATGTAGTTTCCCCACAACAACTCTTGAGATGACAATTCCATAATATCTACGCAGTAAACTTTTGCACACTGGTCAGAGAAAATATTTAATTTTTTACAACTTTTTTTTTTTTGCATCTAAATCCTGACTTTTTACAGTCCTGCAGGTAGGAAATCCAGAAGATTGACCTAAACCACTTGAAGAGACTCCTTCCTAGAACTTTTCTGTTGCCGGTTCTTTTCTAGTTCTGTGCTGCTGCTGCGCTTTACACCTCTGCTGTCATGTTTTTTGATCATGAAAACTGGCAGCTTTGGGGCAAACGGAATCTTACTTTAAGGTGGTAAACTGCCAAGCTACAGCTTTCAGGGAAATGGTGTCGCCTGCTCTTTTCATTGCATTAGTCCTCCTTTCAGAGAAAGAGGATTGGATAGGGCATTGAAGGATGGAGGAAATCTTCAGACAAAGTATATTCTCCTTCAGAGAAGGGGATTTTCTGTTAGTTTCCTGGGAAACAAGTATTGGCAGATCAGCTTGAGATGTCTCTGGAAGTCATGTCTCTAGCAGTGACCTGTAACAGGTTCTTCTCAAAATAAAGCAAGAAATTGCACCATAACAACTATTTTACTGTTTTGTGGTTGCAAACTTTTTTTTTTTAATGTCCTCACGTAGAGCCTTGTGGCCAGTTAACAGTAAATCCAATATGAGTTATCCTCTG